GCCTCCCCCTCCGCCGCCTCCCAAGGGTAAGAGGCCGATGCCAGCGAAGGTGCGGCGAGTACCGGAGGTTGTTGAGTTCTATCATTCGTTAATGCGGAGGGACTCCCGGCGAGATCCCGGCTCCGGAATTTCCGACCCGCCGTCGACCGCCAATGCTCGTGACATGATAGGGGAGATCGAGAACCGGTCCACTCACCTACTCGCTGTAAGTCACCGGTCACGTATTTTCGGTCCCTTATTATTTTCAGTATTTTAATTTACAATTATGCCACTAGGTTGAGCTTTTTGTCAGTGACGAATTGACTGGTCCTCAATTGTCCTGTTTTTATTAGGTGCGCCTATTGAATTTCTTTGGATTTTATTGTCAAAAATCGGAATATTGCTTCCTTTAATAGGATTGCCCTCTTGATTCAAACTGTCTTTTCGCGTTTCCCCTTTTTCCTCAAGGCTTGGGCAATTTTGTCATTTCAACTCGAATTCATGGCTTTTTGGAATTGGAGGTGAAGGAATTCAATTTACCCTTCCCTCTTTCTTTTTTCAAAACATAAGCATAAACAAATCGGAAAAGTAATCATAGAGAATAAATTTTCTTTGAAGCCAAATAAAGATTGATTTCGAAGGATATCAACCTCTTGATGATGGATTTTGCTTTATTATCAATCCCAACAGCTAAAAGAAAGTCACTTTAATTATTGCTCTTTTGGAATTTTGATTTGGTTGTGATGCTTATGATTAATCTCTCATGTTACTGGCAGATAAAGACGGATGTAGAGACTCAAGGGGATTTCATAAAGTTTCTGATTAAAGAAGTTGAAAATGCTTCATTTACTGACATCGAGGACGTTGTGCCATTTGTCAAATGGTTGGACGATGAGCTCTCATATCTGGTGGACGAAAGAGCCGTCCTTAAACACTTTCAGTGGCCGGAGCAAAAGGCCGACGCTCTGCGTGAGGCCGCCTTTGGCTATTGCGATCTAAAGAAGCTGGAGTCCGAAGCGTCATCGTTTCGTGGTGATGCCCGCCAGCCCTGTGGTTCCGTTCTCAAGAAGATGCAAGCTCTGCTTGAAAAGTATTCAAAAATTTTCCTTTGGTTGCTTCTAGTTGATTATCTTTTTTCCTTGCTTTTAGTTTCATTTCTTAATTTCTGTTCTGGGTGCAACAGATTGGAGCATGGCGTATACAATCTCTCGAGAATGCGTGAATCTGCAACTAAGAGATACAAAGCTTTTCAAATTCCAGTGGAATGGATGCTTGATAGTGGAATTATGAGTCAGGTAATTTCCATCTCTGTTCGATTAAACAAATTAGTTTAATTCTAGCTTAGGTCTGCTGGTGGGGGAAGGTGGAAGGTATCCAAGAAGAGATGACTGCTGATTAATAATGATTTCTTTGACTTGTGAAATGCTCTGATTATTAAAATTATTAAGTTGTTCCATTCGGGTGTGTCTCTCCGAGTGGTCCCTTTTAATGGATCCTTTCTGGAGAGACAGGGAAATAACTCTGACACAGTCTACAGAACAATGTAAATATAAATATGGAGAATGGTTAACAAGATGACAAGAAGGATGTTTTGATTTTGCTTTTTTTTCCCCTGCCCCTTGCCTGCACGCGCACATGGGAATTCCCAGATTTCTAAACTACATCTTCTTGTCTGCTTTATTGTTGTTTTTTAATTATGGGTTAACAAGAGAATCAGATTCTCCTCCTTGTTTGCTGGTATGCTAATTTGATTCTTTTTAAAAGTTTCTTTAGATTGAGGACGCTGAAATTTGTTTGTTAATTAATATTCATTCATTTCTTAACTCAAATAAACCCTTGGAAGCTCCAGAATCCTATCTCTCGTGCAATGCATTGTTTTTAAAAGAGTAAATTAATAAACGTTAAAAGGACAAGTCGTTTTGCCTTGAAAATATGGTCCCCTGGGCGCCAAGTTCGCAGTTGTTTTAATACGTTCACGTGTATTAGTTACTTGAATGATATGTTGCTGATCAGAGTCAATTGCGTGCTTCAATTAATGTGCCACAGATCAAGCTTGTCTCTGTGAAATTAGCAATGAAGTACATGAAGAGAGTATCCGCGGAGCTTGAAACAGTCGGTGGTGGACCTGAGGAAGAAGAGCTGATTGTCCAAGGCGTTAGATTTGCCTTCCGTGTGCATCAGGTAATCTTGGGCTCCTCAACAACTGGCTTTTGTGCCCACTTGATTTTTGGGCTCTTATGAAAGGAGGAGAAGGGGGGACCCCTCTTATTAGCAAAAGTGATATTGAAACTGGAAATTGTTGCTAAAACTACTTTGTTCAGTCTCCATGATTATGTGTTAATATTTCTTTCTTCAACTTCTTCTTATGTGCAGTTTGCCGGAGGATTTGATGTGGAAACGATGAGGGCATTTCAAGAGCTGAGAGATAAAGCAAGTTCATGCCACGTTCAATGCCAAAACCAGCAACATAAGTACGTGTGCAGTAGCAGGCCTACAACTTGTTAATCTGCAGCAATCTCAGCTTCAGAGGGCTCTGTTTTTTGGTGGTTGTAAAGATCGATTGTTAACCATGTTTGTGAATATTAATGGCAGCAGCTGTTTTGGGTGGGATGGGATGGGACTCCAATTTATTCATTTAAAAGATAATGAACTGAGGTCATATTATATTGAAAAGAAAGGAAGGGAACCCATTTTCTTCTTTAATATATGCATTCAACTTCATCCTTTTCCTCTTTAAATATTTGCACATTGTCATCTATACTTTGAAAACTTGGGCTTAAATGAGAAGGGGGTGTTTTTAATGTCTTTTCCTCCACAGTTATAAAAGGTGGATCGAGAGAAAATAATGGAGTGGTGGAGCTTGAAAATTATTTCGAAGGTTTTTCTTTCTTCGATTACAATATATAGAAGTGGGAAATTCGAAGGTAGGATCTTTTGGCTGAATGTATAAGAGTGAGAAAATAGTCGTTCAGCTAGGTTCTATTCATAAAATAAGAATTTTTATAAGAATATATTTCTAACTAGACCAATTTTATTCTATCTATTCATAAAATAATTTGTAGAGTAGTGAATACCTTAAATAATACGTGAGGACATGATTTACACAAAGTTATGTCAACTAGTCTTTGTTTCTTTGAGCGTGTGGCCAAATATTTTAAAATAAATATTAGTTTTGACATTATTTTCAAGAGGCCAATAGAAGTAGAAACGTATGTGCTAAATGATTAACTATGGTGACTTGAGATGCACTTTTAGGAAATATATGGAGACGAAAAAAGGTAAAAGGGTTTATTAATGAAAGTAAAAGAAAATATTATTGTTATTTTTATGTTTAGTTAATTTTGTGTATTTTTTTAGTACAATATGTGAGGATTATGTGAGGATTGAATTCGAACTCCTGACAACATGAAAAATTATTCATATTATTTAACAAATAATTTTAAATTATTCATATTATTTAATTTTTTTATTGAATGTTTGTTGGAAAAGAGAAAAAAGGACAAAATTATTTATATCTTTTAAATTTTTAACCTTAATTAATTTTTTAGTACAAATCTTAATTAAAATTAAAATATGACAACTTCAGAATTTTATGAAATTCTACAAAATCCAATAGTTTTTGTTAGAACTTAGACCTACCATTAAAAAAATTGATATAATTTTTCTAAAAGAGATATATATTTTATAAAATTTGTTCCAACCTTCGGAAGCCGCTCCCGAGTCCGGACATGGATCTGTAGCTTTTTGACGCATTTAGCAACGCAGATGACAGGCTCCATAGTTGTAAATGTGCCATTTCCTTGGGCAATTGAACTCAGGTTTCGTTCTTACCTTCATTCCAATAAGAATCGATCATCATCATCTGCGCATTTTCTCTGCTCTCTCACACGGCCTCCAATTTCTCGCCTTATCAAAGCTACTGCTGCGTCGTCCATGGAGGTTGAGGAAGGTGGAAGATCTGCAGCTGTTGGCAGCACAGCTTCGCCCATGAAGCTCTTGTTCGTCGAGATGGGTGTCGGATACGATCAACATGGGTGAATTTTCATATTTCTTTCTTCTTACAAGTTTTCTGTTTGTTAGATATATATGAACTCGTGATGATTTCGGGAATACAGTTACGAACTTGTTTACAGTGGGAAAAGAATGAGATTAATAAGTGGATTATCTTTTGCCATACAGCCAAGATGTCACGGCAGCTGCTATGCGGGCCTGCAGGGATGCCATATCTTCCAATTCGATTCCAGCATTCCGTAGAGGTATGAATTTGGCTCCTTCTTCTTGGTAGCCTAAATTACGCCGTAGGGTCTTCCGTTAATAGGGTCTTTTCTGTTACGTATTTTTGGTTGGTAATGTTTGAATCAGTGCTCTCTACCTCCTGTAAACTACATTCATTTAGATATATAAAGTATCATCATTTTCTCGGAAAGAATAATCATGTCTTTGCACTGTTCTGAATTTATTTCTGAATTCAGAATCTTAGTTTTTTAGTTACTTGTGGCTTCTGTTAGTTAAGTTTATGATGCAAGACGTTGCCTAGTTTCATTATGTTAATCTTTCAATTAGGACTAATGACAAGGTGTTGTGTAGGTTCCATTCCTGGAGTCACATTTGATCAGATGAAACTTCAGATCAAACTTGGAGTACCACAGACACTTCAACAATCCTTGGATATTGAAAAAGTCAAGTCTGTCTTCCCATAGTAAGTATTGAACTATTTCAGTTGGATGACTTCATTTTTAGGGGAAAATGCAGAGCACTTGTTCTTGTAATTCGCTACACCTTGAGCTTTAGGTTAGGCAGATAAGTGTTAGTGATGCAAACAAATAAATGAGCCTTTACAATCCAAACAGTAGGAGGACTAAGTTAAACTACTAGTTAAAGCCATTTTAGCAAAATAACCAAACAGAGAATGAGAGGGGATGGAAAAGTAACAAGTTAAAAAGGCAAATGAGGTAAGCCAAGAGCAACAGAAGCCAAAGCAAAGATCTGTGAGGATGCTGAGCTGTAGAAGAAGGCTGCTAGATTAAGATGCTGAGTTGGTTAGTGGCTTGCTTTAGCGACCCTCCTAAGCTTGTGGGTGTTTCAATCACTCCAAGATTCTCTGAAGAAAGTAATTTGTAGGCAGCTTGAGGTTGAGGCTAATATTCTCCTATCTGTTAAGAATATGGTATATACCTACTTCCAGTTCTTTGTTAATGATCTTACCTCTGATAAAAGTGAAGATCTATCTCTAGATGTTTGGTCCTTGCACGGTAAATCAGGTTTGCAGCTACAACATTAGCATTGATGCTATTACACCGAGAGAGAGAACAGAAAGATGGTTCAAGGTTATTTGAGAAGAGATTTGAACCAAGTAGAAGGATTGAGGTTGTCAGGATTCTCTGTCGGTGTGCCAAGATGGTATAAATAATCCTTTATCTTCTATTGGAACAGCACCTCCTTAGTTTTCACGTCCTTCACGTAAAAGAAAGAGGGTAAAATTCGACCAAACATTCTTCTCATAGGTCAAAATAAGGATTCTTACTAGGTTCTTTTTTATTCTAGGTAGGCACTCATGTGACGTTCCTCAGTTTTAGAGAACTAGATGCATCCTAAGTATGCTTACTAGGTTCATTTTTGCAGAAACCAACCATTACATCTTCAATATATTTTTGAGAAAGTGGAGTCTGTCTTTCCATTGAGTAATGAACTCTTTTCTCAAACCTCTGTTGCATCATAAAATACTTTGCCAATCTATTAGGAATGCCTTTGGGGTAATTAGGGTTATTAATAGAATAGTAAGGTTTGTTAGTAACTAATTGAGGAATTGGTTAGTAGAGATTTGTTATAAATAGAGTGAGGGGGAAAGGATAATGGGTGGCAATTTAGCATGGTTTTGACTTGAGTGATCCAAGTACCTCGAATTACTTGGGGATTAGTCCTTCTAACCTTTTATCTTTCCATCTATTTCAACTATTTGGTTTCCATCACAATCATGATTTCTTTGATCTCCTCCATAATGTGACCCTACTGCTTCCCTTTTCCCTCATTTGGTGGGACTCCTGGAGTTTGTAGAACCAGCGGGTCTGTATATTATTATCATTATTTTAAATTTCGGGTTGACAATTATTTGGTCTTATTTTTCTGTGCGCATACTCATATTTTATCATCATTCATGAGTAACTAGTCTATTGCTTACTCTCCTGTTGGTCTGCCTTTTGGATTTAGTCTTCGTGGAACCAGTTATCTTGAAATAACATGTTAGCGAGAAAGATTGTTTGGATGGACAGACATTATTTTTCATCGATGATGGCTAACACCTACAAACCATCCTATACGAAAGATCATTGAATCTTTCCCTCGCTTGATTTACTGCAGTGGAAAGATTCTGAATGTTGAGGTCGTTGATGGTGGCTTAATATGCTCCAGCGGTGTGCACGTGGAAGAAATGGGAGACAAAAATGATGACTGTTATATAGTAAATGCTGCTGTATATGTTGGCTATTAATTTTTGTGCCTCATATTCCTCTTCCGGAGATCTTAACTCTTAAGGGTTATTCACCCCTCCCCACAAACCACTGAACAGTGTATGCATGCTCGAGGAGCTTAGTCATCTATGATTGTGATTATACTGTAAGCTAAGCTTGATGAATACTTCGACATTTCAGTTTCCTTGGAGATATTGAGAGAACCACAGGGTTATTTCCTGTATTGATTAAGCTCTCAAATTTAGTTTTTCTTGATTTTAACATGCTGCAATATACTTTCACTATGTTTCAAACTCATGTTTTAGTCATCAACATCTGTAATTACTAAATGAACTGCCATATCAGTTCGTATTCAGTGGAATGATCTTTGAGTGCTTGGTGGAGTTGATGTCAGGTACTTAGTTATTGCATTATTTATTGACGATTGAGGTCATGCTTCTTAACTTGGCCATTGGTCAGATATTTTCATTTTTTCTGGTCTCAGTAACTATTCAGGAGGATAGGGGTTGACAAATGACAAGATGTACAGTTAGCCTGACATTCAGATTCTTTGCAAATATAAACTGATCTCAAAGCCAAACCCAAATTCAATTGGACTCATTTTACAAAGATGCGCAATAGAGCATGTTAATCCAGTGTTGCCATCTCACCTACATTCTTTCCCATCAATATGAAACTATAGGCACAATTACTTTATACAATTGCTTTGTTGCTATTACATTTCTTGCTTCCAGTTGCCGTTAAGCTGGTTAATGAAATGAATGAAGTTCTAACATTCCCTGAGAAGAATTGCAGAGACGAAGGGAAGTTCAACTGGCCTTCACATGGTGAAAACTGCATAGAGAAGCTGGTTCCAAGTGTCAGGCAAACCGGGGAGGCACCAGTGGCTGCAATCTGTGCCTGCATGCTCGCCGCTGTAAGCAGAGGGATGTGCATCTTTGCGCAGTTGCGACAATTTTGTGATGTCCAGCAAGAAAACTGGCTTCCTCATTCTAGCTAGCACTCTCTGCACGATTTCTGCTGCGGGTGGCGTTCCCGCTGGATACAGTGACCCCGTAAGCGGTACGCTTTCTCCATAGCAACTCCTCCTTGGTTGGTTCCAATCCTTTCCCCTGTTAACTTATTTTTCAAGGTCAATTTCCATTTTCATCTATACACTCTGAAAAGTCTTATTCCTATCACTAACTATGAGAAAATTACATAAGAAAATATATTTTTACTGTGAATATCGATTATTAAAGGAATTAATGTCACACTATCCGACATGGATACGTGACAGTGCTGCTCTTTCTGTCGACAGAAATTTATAGATGTTCGGAGCTTGCCAAACTGTTGGAGAAGTATTAAAAGGGATACATAGCCGAATAACCAAATTTATACTTTAGCCTCTCATGATGTGTGTATATATTTATAAATAAACAGATCACAATTATGGAGCGCATATATATTATATATGAACAGATCACAACTAGGGAGGGCAGCGTTGGGATGTATTCTTTGTCCTTGACCTTGTAGGAATAAAATATTCTGCCTTTCCTTAGTTTTTCAATTTTCATATTTATTTTGTATAATTAAATATTGATGAATTCTTTAAATATATATTTTAGAGTTAAAATAAAAAATAAAAAAAATGATAGAAAACCGATCACAGCCGTTGATTTTTACTTACTCATAATGAGTGGGGGAGATTCCCTGGAAAATGACCCTGGTTTTACTGGGATCAACATTCATGTCCACCCACCTAGCCCAGGTGGTCAGCCCTTGATAAAATGCCTCCAGACGGTCCATATCTTTCTTCACTGTATTTCCTATTTGCACATAATCCCACCTGAACAACACTCACAACCGTCAGATTTTACCATCTTCTACCGCATAAGCATGATCTAGAAAAAAGAGATTGATCATACGGCTGGGATCTTCCAGTGTGGGTCCACCAGTGCCAGGAGTTGAAAATTAACACATCCATCCCCTTCCACACACTTCCTCCTTCAATGGAATCAAGCTTTAGTACTCTTCCAACTCTCTCTTTCACTATGTCCACAAGGTAGTGCGTTCTGTGAAGAAGCAAGCTCACTCCATAGTCCTGCACACACCGGATTGTTCCCTCTTATTCAATGGTTTGGTCCATTATTAGAAATAATTGTACAGAGAAAGTTATTATTGGTGTTTACTATTATTTGTATTTGAATATGGTTTTCTTATATTATTTGTTTTGTACTGTTTCATTTTGCCGAGCTCAGCATAACCCAAAAAACAGCTTTTGGAAAAGTGAATAAAGAACAGAGAATAAAGCAAGCAGACAATTGGTATACTGTGAAGTGGGAGATTTTGAACGAAGAAATTTGAGGAAAAGGAAAAGGAGAAGGAACTCGCCTGGAAAATCACAGTGGAGAGTGATTCCCTCATGACTATGGAGGTTTTGGCTTTTGGTGCCGACGCCAGAATCATACATGTTAAAGATTGCCACATGTTCAGACTCAGTGAGTCACCTACAAACATTATCTTCTTCCCTTTCCACCTCCTCAGAAGCTCCAACCCATCAAACCTACAAATAAATGAACACATTTTCTCAAAGAGAGAGAGAAGGCTGCTCTATTTTGGCACCCACATTCTCAGAGAAGGAGAGCATGAGATTTGCATAACAATGTCGGATTATGAGGGAAAGCAAGAAGCCTCAAATGGGAGATCAGAGTGGAAAACTTTACAAACAAAAGAAAGTGAAGGAGAAGTACCTTGGAAGATCACATAAGTCAGGTTTCCAGGTGTACTTGAGGTAGGATCGATCAGGCCTGCCATACTTTTGGCAATTAAACTCAGGGTCAATGAAGGGACAGCTTGAAGATTCATAGAGAGGAAAAGAAGCATCAAAAACCCATTTGCCCTGAAACAAATTGCACTCCCTCTCTTGCTTTCTACTTCCCACATTGCTTATGTTATAGAAGTCTTCAGCTTTTGCAGTTTCCAGTAAAAACAGTAACACAACTTGTAAAAGCAGAAGGGACAGAGGAACTCTGAATCGAAAACCCATCTCAGATTTTGGGCTGTGACTGAAAAGAAAGAGGAGTTTGGGGAATAGAAGTAGACAGAAGCAAGTGGGTCTATATAGAGACAAACAAGAGTGAGAGAGAGAAAGCCCTGATTTTTATTATTGTTATTTGTTTAATCTTTTAAAATTTTTATGACATGAGCTGGGAATTGGGTAATCTTGGCTGGATTGATTAGGGGAAATGCAGGGGATTGTGGGGAGTTGAAATTGAGAGTTGTGTTTTAGTATTGCCTGGTTTGCACATCGAGGGCCATATCATATTGCCCACCAAGCAATGTTGCACATGGCTCAATGATGTGTTGGTTATCTAACTACCAAACTCTTTTTGTTTTTTATTTTTATTTTTGAAATTTCTACATTCAACTATTCATATAATGGAATAATGGAATAATGGAATTTGATTCAAAGTAAATTTCATACTCCCATGTCTGGAATCTGTTCAATGTTGCCATATCCTGATGTGTTGTTTTGGTGCCTACTATTTTCACTGTGCTTAATGGTTATAACTTATAACTTATAACCTCAACGGCCTTTTCCCCCAACAAATAAAAATTACTTGCTGAGCTGATGAATAGTGAAATTTCCTTTTTACTCATAAATATTTATATAAAGCAATAAAGGGGAGAAATACATTGAAAGCTATAGATTCTCTAATTAAATTTGAAATTAATTTGAAACATTTTGTGGAATCAAGTATGTCACGTCACTTTAACGTGTTGCCAAAGCTAAGTTCTTATGTGTGAAAATCTTATCACGTATTATAAGATTAAGTAGCTTTACTAGATGAGAAGGGGTTTTTTTTTTNAGAAGTTGTTAAAAATAGAATCTTAATTTTTGATAGAGTATGAGGATAAAAAAAAAAATCTAAATTCTATTTTTTTGTACTTTTCTCTCCCACCTTTTTCGGATTCAATGTCCTTTCCCTGTCTATTAATAATACCTCACTTGATATAGATTTATTTTTTATTTTTATTTATATAAATGGAAACTTATGAAAACTACTTGTTCACCTTTTAAAAGCAAAAACAAGTTTCTAAAAATTGTTTTTTTTTCAATTTTTATAATATAAATATTTTAAACTAGATTAGAAAATGAAGAAACAATTTAATAAATGAACATGATTTTTAAAATAGAAAATAAATATTTAATCAAATGAATTTATTCTATTCCAATTTTAAGAGGCATTATCATTTTCTTTTGAGTTTTAACTTTTTTCCGAATGTAAATCAAACCTTTTGGTCCGGATCCTCCAATTTCAGTTTTTTTTGTTGCATTCTCTCTCTTCCTAGCCCTCTTGTTATCAATTAAATCTCCAATTTCAGTTTTTTTTTATGAAATTATTAATAAATAAGGAAGAGTGGGGTCATAGATTAGTTTTTTTTCGAATAGGGTTATAAATCCAAAGTGAATTATGGGAGGGTCAAAATTTCAAATTTTCCAAAAAAAGTAGAGAAGGGTCACAAATTAGGTTTTTCTAAAAATGGTTCAAAAATCAGAATGAATTATATAATGGGGTTAGAAACTCAATTTTCCTTAAATCTTCCAACGTTACTTGTAAATCTTGATGTCATTATTATTGGGTAAGTGAAAAGTGAAAAAGGGGATTGGAAAACGTATTGTTCAATAATTGTACAGTGGTTAATTCAATCAAAGAAAAAGTTATCGGCTCTAGTGAGTCCTACTGATGAATTTGTTGTTTTTGGGCTGTTGGCTATGTCATGGAATCACTTTTTGTAGCACAGTAGCTCCAAAAGAGTTTAGATTTTTACGGCTACCATTCATCCAGTTTAATAAGCTTAACCACCGCACGATCTCATTAAAGTGTGAACCTATTTGTACTTGTCTAAAAACTTTTTATCTTAATTAATAATGAGGGAAAAGAAGGTTTCACATTTACCTTTTTTTTTTAGGTTTCATACCATTATTCATGCAATTAACAAGTGAAAGATTTATTTTTTATGTAAAGTAAATAAGCTGATGAAGTTGTTAACAAAAAAAAAAAACAAATCATATTTTGGATGTTTGAAATAAGTAAAAAAACAAAAAAAAATGAAAATCTAAAGAAGAAGAACCTCCACTTAATTAAGGGGAGAGTTAGGGTACACTTCAGATAAATAAAGTCTCCACACAAAATCAATGACAGTATATTCTATCCAGAAATCCTTGACTTGGAGATCTACGACCATTTTTACAATTTCATGGGCTACCATATTTGCATCTTGCTCACATAGGGAGGAGCATTGAAGAAATCACTTCGACATCTCTATGCTTTGTGTGACAAAATGTTGTTATCCTTGTTGCTAAAATTAGATGGGTAATACAATTATTTAAATAGAGGTTCTACACCCTTATGTAGTTATTTGATAAGGTCAATCGTGGATAATAACGAGGAGTTATTGTGGGATGACAACTAATCTTAATACTTATAATTAACTCTTCTAATTTATCATGCTAATCATGAACCTTTTAAATTAAGTATCTGTCGATTAAATTACTATTATGGGTGTAATAACAGAAAGTTGAGTAAAGATGTGGACAACATCTCTGATTTCCCAAAACTTTTCCACTTATAATCTACTTTATTTTCTTTTCAAACTCCTGAAATTTACAAGTAGGTTGAATCAAGTATGAGGAAACCAAATATGTAATTATCCTCTAAAAATGGTAAATTTCCCATAATTTCTGACAATTTTAGAGTGAGAAAATACCTTTGGGCCAGGCCCACCAAGGATTCTGTTCAAATGAGGCTGCTGGGTGGGCTAGCTGTCTCCATTTGATGGTGGAGGCCCACTCACAATCATTATTAAGACTCTTCCTTCGCAAGTGGAATTTTGGGAGTCCACTAGTTTGTCCAATCAAATCATGCCAAACTGCTTCTTTCTTTCCAATAAGATTTTTTTTTACTGTCTAAATTGACAGAATATTTCAAAAAAAGGGCACTTCTAAAAAATTTTTAGGTTTTGGAGTACTTTTCTCTTGCATGTTTAGACATATAATATAACTTTGACCTCTTAGATCACAATTTTACATTTTTTCCATATGTGAATTATTGATATACCTCGATTTCAATACTTTCCAAGAACGAAATTTCTAGAAGATTTAAAATATATGTATTTATTTTATATTTTCGAGCAACTAGAAATTTTAAATCATCTTCAACCTACCATAGATTATAAATTCGTACAAATTATTCTATGTATTGAAGTGTGGAAGCATCTATTGTGATGAAAATGGTCGTATTTTCAAAATGATCTTCAACCTACCATCTATTACATTTTAATTTTGGGTTAAAAATGGTGTTCATGCAAAACCCTTTTTTAAGAGATTGGTTGGAGCACATGTAGGGTATATGCAACCACTACAATCTGGTGCACCAACCATTTGGTTTGGTTGCAGCACTTACTTTTTTTTTTTATCCTAACAGAAAAATGAATTATCCTATTTTTCTTCAAGATGCGCTTTCAAAGCTTCCAACACCATCATAAATGCCTTAGGCATAGTGCCATAAATTGCTCTCTCTCCCTCTCTCTATTATAAGATGGATGACATTTTTTTTTTGGGAGATAGATGACTCATTTTGTTAATAAAGGATAATATCTCTCTCTCTCTTTTATAGGATTAAAAAAGGATAATCTTGTTTGTCAACTTGATTCCATTTTTATCCAGATCTTCTATTTTAAATTTTAAAATTTATCCTTTAAATATTTTGACTTCAAGTCTTTACTATCATTAAACATTAAAAGAATCGATACAAAATAATTCAAAGACTACCGGAAGTTCTCAATTATGAATACAATAAAATTTTAACTAATTTATTCTATAGAACAACTAACTCCGTCAAATCAGATAAATTATTATAGGTCAAATCATATGAAGTTGGTAGCTTCTTATTTTAGAGGGAACATATTTATTTTGTGATGAAATAAAAACATAAGGTACTTCCAACTTCATTAATAAAATATGTCAACCTGAAGATAAAATTCCAACTTCATTAATAAAATATATGTCAACCTGAAGATAAAATTGATTAGAATACCGCTTATCGCTCTAGTGTCAAAGGTTCAAATCCTCTCGCCATTTATTATAATAAAAAAGAAAACATAATTAATAAAATATATTTTGATGTCACATCATCAACCTGCCAATTTAACATTGATGACGAACAGACTTGATCAAAAAAATAATCGATGCAGAAAAGATGAAATTGAAATTTTATAAAATATTAATAAAATTGGAATTTTACCTAAAGAGCATAAATTATGTATTTAGTGTAGTTTTTTTTAAATAAAATATGTATATTTGACAAATGAGTGATGGGCTTCCAAGAGTCCATATCTTGAATTGGGCTTTTCCGTATGCTGGACCTTATAAGTGGAGGCCTGGATCCGACCCGATTAAGTTCATCCATATGAGGATAAGGCTCCTTCGTCATCCGCTAGCAAATTAGCTGAAAGGGGGAAACAGTCTTAAGAATGGCAGCGATATCAGTGTTATCGACCCCATGGGTTTTAAGCGGAGCTGTGGCTGTCCGCGTTCCCTCAGCTTCTCTTGTAATCTCCACTGGCTCTAGAAGTTGCTGCTCCGTATCTCTCAACACTGCAAACAACACTTCCGCTCGTTCTGGATTGCTCCGTTGTTCGTTTCTTCCTTCTTCCTCCCTTTCATGCTCTTCATCTTTTTCAGGTGAGGAACTTTTCTGTATTGATTCATGTAGTTTAGAGATTTTGCATTATTACGTGCTCATTTGCCTATTTACTGGAGTTTGTATTAGTTCACTGATGTATTTATTTGCGCTCATGTGCGTTTGTCACTTTCTAGGTCCTTACATTTCAAATTGTATGCATGCAAGGTCGTTTGATTTAGTAATTTCACTGTTGTTCGATGGCGTGATTTTCGGATGGTTGATTCTTGCTTGCATTGCATTCGATTATTTTCCTTTTTGTGCTTTCCAGTAGTCGAATTGTAAGTGAATGACGAGGCAGGTGGCTGCATATCTCCATTTTTTTTTAATCTGATAATCAATCCATTGTGTTTTACACTTTGATGGGAAAATTAGGAAGTAATGCACCACCTCCATTCTGTTGATCAAGATTTTATCATAAAATTTATGGGAAAGAAGTACTCATTTGCAGGTTTTTCTTTGGGTTTGGACTGGAACTCCAGAATTTGGGTTGGACAAGGAAAGGGTCGGAGCTTAGTGGTTAGGGCTGGCAAGGCTGCACTATGTCAGACTAAAAGAAACAGGTCGCGTAAATCCTTAGCTCGGACTCATGGTTTTCGCCGACGAATGCGGACCACCAGTGGTAGAGCTGTTCTTAAGCGCAGGCGTGCCAAGGGGAGGAAGGTCCTCTGCACGAAGTCTTACCCTAGTAGCGGAAAGGGTGCTTAAATTTTTCTCGCTTTAACCATCTCTAGGTAAATTAGGCAATGTTGTCTAATTCACTCTTTGAATGACTGGTCGAGATAGCTTATATTATATGATGCTTTCTTATTTAGTCATTTAAAATTTTCTTAAATTATCAGTGTTAAATTCAAATACTGGACAAGACTAGCTTATGTGATTAATCCTTTCGTATTGTTCATTTGAAAATTTTCTCTGAATTGGAATATGTACATTTTCTGAAACCTGAGGATTGCTGTTACTCATATAATCTTGGGCCTTCCGGTCATTAATTTTTAGGTCTGAATCATCTCAGTTTCTGTCAAATATTGTTTTTGATTGAGCTACTCAGTAGCTTCTTACATAAAATGTAATTGTTATTGACATTTTAACTTTATAAACATTAAGCATTGTGCTGCCTGACCAAGCTGAAGACACTGTAGAGAAAAAGGAAAGGTTTCAGTGGAATCTGTTAGGTGCAAGGGAGACCCAGTGGTGTGGTTCTGATAGAAAAGACTTAGAAGTTAGAAGTTGCTTTTAAAGTTGGGTTGTACCTTTTAATTATTTTCCTTCTGATAATAGAGAAGAAAACAAAATTCACTACAATCTTGGTGATTACTTGTAAGCAGGGAAAATTGAAAGAATGGAGAAAGCAACCAAATGACTAGCATAGCATTGCATAGGATAAGTCTTTATAGGATAATATTTGGAGGATCATCATGAATGTTACTGCCTGTTCACGACCTCTGCTTTTAGAAGGAAAGCAAAATGCTAAAATTAGCCGACTGATATCATCTCTACCTACCATGAATCTAAATAACCTCCCAGTCAGGGAATTCATCATTTTGTGTGGTGGATGGAGAAAACTTTACTATTTCGTTGGTAAGTGCATTTGCTTTTTGGCTCTGCTTCCTTGATGAACTCGGTATATTTGCTTTAGCATTCATTTTTTCAATCTGAAAGAGAAGGTCAAAGAGGCCAAGAAAAGATATGAGTTGGTATCATGGGTTAGTAGAGAGCATAACTTTAAGCATTCTGAATGTTTATAAGCAATCTGCTTGCATGCATATCTAGAAAGTAACGATAAAACCTATAGAGCTCCAAGTACTTTTTGGTCAGCTGAGAAATGGTTTGGTTGAATAATATGAAGATTCTGTTTATCAGGTGTTTGAATTGTTCTTCGTTCTGTCTGGATATGATGCTCCCCTGCAATAGCAAGATTCAACAAAATGAATGATATAACAAAAGCACATATGTTATACTGCTCTTTTTCTTATTTCTCCAAAGCTGATGGGTGTCCGTTAACTTGTTTTCATATATGTGCCTGTCTCCCCTTTTCTTTACAGGAAATGACACCCAAGAATTAAGAATATTATCATAGAAGCTTCTGACAAGCTGACTATTTCAAGAAAATGCTGGTATGTAAAATATTCATCACTTAAGAATATAGTTAAATATAATTGCATCTTATATTGAACCCACATGGCTGTCCACAATTGTACGTGACAGGAGAGAGAACTCCAATTAACAAAAGTTGCATTTTATCACTGAAAATGTAACATCAAAAATTGCACAAGAGGTAAAGGGTGGAACTGTTTGTGGGATAAGAGTTTTTTGAACCATAGAAAAAAGCCCAAATTAGGAAACCATCACCAAATTGGTGGTGCTGAAAACCAAGACTAAGACCCATTTCCAAAATTTCTGTAATTATTTTCAAGCACATTGTAGTAGTTTTACCTTCTCCAAGACATCACACATCTCCAAGCACCTGCCCTCCATTTCCTTGAAGACGTTCGTAAACCAGTCCAAGGCATTACAGTTCTGTCCCATGTTCAGATCAGATGGAAACCTGAAACGAAAATAAACGTGATTGAAAGGTTAAATTACGGCAGATAAGACCAAAATAAAAGCAAAGGAATAATAGCCTTTGAAAACCAAGAGATGATCCACCAAAATTAAAGAAGCAGTCAGTGCAACTGAGAGCCAAAATTCAAATAAAGAAGTCGTGAAACCATTTCGTCTTCACTGTAAACTGATAAGCTAATTCAGAAGAAAGCAAGTAGAGGAAGGAGAAACCCATGAACCTGGTGGCAAAGAAGTTAAAAGAAAAACTGAAGACAAATAAAATCCTGAAGTTACTTGAAAACCCGATTCAACTGAACTTTATAAAAACGGACCACTTTCAATATCATATTCTTAAAAGGAAGAAAGAAAATAATGGGAGAGAGAGAGCTTTGGCAGTGTCCAAAATGGAGGAGGAAAGGAAACGACGGGGACCAAAAGGAGTTCAGAGAAGAGAGGGACAGGGACCCATGAGAAGAGACAACAGAAGTACTGAGTAAAAAATTCTGAGAAATTTACAGTATATTCTCTTTAATTACATTTACATTTACTTTTCAATATTTCTAAATTATTTCATCATTGTTTGTAATAAATTTAGGTTTATAAAGTTTGACTCTGGATGTAAAATGATTTAGTTTTATAAACTTAAATTTGTGTAGTCGGCATTTGGTTTATAGATTTATAATTTGTATTCATTTGCAATATTCCTAGCTTAACATAAGCAAACCCACATGCCAAACATTTGTCTTCTTTTACTCCTCTAACTCGGATCCAATGTCTAACCCAATAATCAAACACCTTGTAAAAGTCTGTTTAGAAATTTGGCTTAAAATTTTTTCTATTTTTTAAAGTAAACAAAAATGCCGTGTCAAAATATATATATCTTTTTAAATAGTTTTTAAAATTTTTAAAATTATATAATAAGCACTTAACTAAACGATTAGTTTGCTATATATTTTTCAAAACTAATTTTAAGGAATACACCTAAATAAATGTTTAAAGTGCACAAACTTCATGACATCAAGAAGAGCAATATATTCAAACTCGTGTGGAGTTTATGAAAGCTCAATTCTACCAAAGAATAATAACGGAACAAAAGAATTCTTAGCTCTTCTTCTTGCTTTATTTTTCCACAATTTCAAAGCTGTACAACAAAAATGAATTTCCTTTCTGCAAATTCACTTCATGCTTCTCCAGAAGATGTCTGCTTTCTTGTAAGTCTGACCATCTTCTTTTATCTCGAGGTCGTTGCTGAAGACTGTTTTTGTACTTCTGATGAAGAAGGTTCATGGAGTAATAAAATTAACATCAGAAAGGTAAACTTTTGGAACTGGTGCTAATAACCAAGTTCTTCAGTTTTGCAGGGTCTCCCCCATTGGCTCGCCCAGTAATCAACTCCATATTCTTATACAAGCTCTGTTTCACCAAATTCTTCATCATTTTCCTCCCTTCCTGAACTTCTCTTTGATTTACAGGCGACCCAATTACTACTCTTCCTGTCTGTGGCCCAGAATGTGGATCCATTTTTGCTTGCTTCTCATTCTTAAACCATTGTAATAACTTTGATGCCCTCTTTTGAGCCAGTGGACTACCCAATAATGCCACTTCCAGAAGCACTGCAACAATCCCAGACTCGGCCATCTTCTCTCTCTGTTCTGAGCTCTGATGAGCCAACATCATTAAGATATAAGCAGATAACTCGACAGATTTTGGCTTGTCCTCCCATGTCATAATCTCAATCAGGCTAGACGGGACCATTGGGCTCCCCTCCATGGCTTTCTTTCCCTGTGAAGTCACCACCAAGTTCCCCAATGATGCGAGGGCTCGATCCGAAAGGCCTTTCGACGATGAGGACAATTTCAAGAGGGTGTGCACCACACCATTTGAGACCAGAGGCCCTACGTTTTCCAGCACTGTGGAGATGTTGTAAAGAGTTTCAAGGCAGCATTTTTGGGTCTCGGAATTTGAGGTTGAATCAAGAATCTTTACAATAAATGGGATGGCATTTTCATTCGTCTGTAAGGCAATTGTGAAGTGGGAATTGATCAGAGATGAGAGTGACAACAGCAATCTTGCAAAATCATGTTTTGCTGATTCATCCATGGCTTGGATGTTACATGGAAGTTTGTGTAAGATTCCTGCCTCCACCATGAGGGCCTTGTTCCTAAAGAATAGCACAAAAAGACAAAGAACAATAAGTCCAACTTATGGTTCAGATTCTTTAAAAACACAAGTCAGGCCAAATGGCAAATGCTGACTTTGGACAGAATGGTTCAGACTTCAGAGGCAGACGAAAGACCAACCCACAAATTCAATATGAATAATCTAAAAGTAAACATCTTTTTATTAAGAGTTGACCCATATGCCCAATATTTTTCCTCTCTCTCTTAATTAATGTCTGGGAGCTTTTAGTTATTTATTTATACATTTTTTTCCTCAAATTTGGAATATCGAGGAATCCAAACCTTCAGCACGTCTTTCCGTAAAGTTCTGTTTTCAATTTGAATATGGGTTCAACATGCTTAAACTTGTTCACTTTTTCTCTTATTTTTATACCATCTGAGGCTAATATGGTTACCAGAAACTCTCGAATAAGATGAAATTGCCATCGTTAACTACGATTTTCCTTGAAACTCAAGTTTCTTTCCTCCGATTGAAAACACAGAACACACATATGGATGCACGTAAAACAGAGAATAAAAAAATCCGAAGGACTTTGAACGACTTACTCGAAGCTTCCTTTGGCAAGCTCAAGCAAGGGTTTGACAGCGAGTTCCGGGCGGCCCACGGCGTCCGATGCCACCATTGAAACCAAGGCCGGAACAACCCGGAGCTCCACCATTAGCTTCTTGATCTTCACGTCCTGTTTAGACATTTTCTCAATCACCTTGGCTGCAATCTCCTTCTCTTCCCAGCTCCCAAAGTGGAGCTTCTTCACCGTCCTCTGCAACGCCGCCGCATCGCCGCCGTCCCAATTTCCATCCGCAGTTTGTATAACTTCATTACTCCCTACTGTGATTTTGGGCGAAGTAGTGACTGAATCATCGGTGGGCGAGACATATGGCTTTTTGGGTGTTTTGGAGCGCAGGAATCTGCGGATTCGGTTGAAGAATCGCAGCTTCACGTAGGAATACACCCAAATGGGTGTTTGCGGAGAAGAAGAAGAAGAAGGTGACGACATGGGATTCATGCTCAGAGAAAGAGATTGAGGTTTAAGAGAGAGAGAGAAGAGAGATTGGGATCATATGCGATGGGAAGCCAATAGTAATATCCTCCCATGCCTCCTCACCAGTGACATTTAAATTTTGAACAGACGATTAAAAAATAATAATAATAAAAAAATATAGAACATATGAAAGATACCTCTCTCAACAATAACAGCACATGTTCTCTTTATTATTAGCATCACCTAATTATATAATTATTCTATACTATATACTAATTTATCCCTTTTAAAATAAAGCTGAATTACAAAATTAGTACCTATAATTCCGATTAAGTTTAGATCTTGTTTTAGTAATACTACCGTAGAGAGACACACGAATGAACCTATAGTGCCTCTAAAATAGAGATCTTGAGACTCAGTAATTAAATATATTTAAGATTTAAAAGGTAAATGGAATATTTTTTCTTTTTCAGAAACTTCAGAGTAAAGCGTATTTGGCTTTATAGAAGGAAGAGGGATGAACTGCAACCTCATGATTGTCAATTACGTTGAGCTATGCTCGCTTTGTCATATCTTGAACTTAATTTTGAAGTTACGTTCCAATAAACCTCACAAATTGGCCTCAACCAACTATTTACCCACTTAAAAATCTACGGATTAGGTTCTACTTGTAGACCTTAATGCATTTAATTAATGCAAATATAAAGCACTATAAATTGATCTATAAAATTTAAAAAAATTACAGATATGAAACTGAAACTTTTAAAATTATAAAAATTAATTAGTATGGGGAGTAAATTGAAAATTTTAAAACTACTCTGTTGAAACTTAAACAATGGATAGATTTGTAATTAAACTTTAAAATAATATTGAATTGAATCAATTTTTATTTAGTTAATTATTGTGTGGATCAGACGTGATTAAAGAAAACATTTATCATGTTCTCAGAAAATAAAATTTGGTTCCTGAAACAAGAATTTGCGTAATAATCGAGGCATCGAGATCTTATGATTTATTAAATTTAATTTCTTAATAAATCTAAAAGATTTTGTCGGTAAAGCTACAGCAAAAAAGGGAACAAATTTCTGAAATATGAATCCCCAAGGTCTACCAAGCTGAGATTGTCATATTTAACACCCAGATCCCTATTTTGTTCATTAAATGTATTTGTTAGCTTTTTTGTTCCATTTTTTAAACATCTATTATACATACGAAATAAGTCAACTAATTGCACAGATTTTTAAAAACAAAAAATTTGAGCCACTTTTTTGCAGACAGAAATTTAATAAAGCATGTTTATTGACTTCCATTGAAATTTAATCAAGTAGTTTGGAAAGTTAAAACCACCGCCTAAAAACAATACAAATTTCCTCTACAACTTTGAATCTCAAAAACTTAGCCACTTTTTATTTTTATTTTTTAAATTATTGTAGATCTTTTATTTTTATTTTTATTTTTTTTATAAAAAATATGATACATGAAACAATACAAACGCCCTCTCTAAACTCTTACACTTCATACGATTTATAGAGGGATGTTCTCTATGTTTTCACGAAAAATATCATATTCTTCTCTAATATATATAGAATGGATCACATTTACTTTAGTAAAACATGTCTTTTGAAGAAGTACAATTTACTTTTTCCACTCTATCTTTTTTTTTTATAAGTTTGAGATCAATACCAAAAGAAAATCTCAAATGGATTATATGGATACGAGTGCACTAGAAGGAACTTTAGTGGCAACATGGTTAGACTTTTTAATCACCAATTTTGACCACTCTAAAATGTTTGGTATGAATGTGGGTGGACTTGCAATTCCTATCCCCACATCAGATTTCCACTTGGCTATTTCATTTTATTTTGTTGGGCTCCAAATTAGTTTCCCACACGTGCCAAACAAATATTGTCCAAGAGATGGTTAATTCTTAATAAATTGAAAGTTTTGAATTAATTGTAATATAAGGACGGCCGAAAAGTGCAATATTGGTGCTCTTATGAGGTGTGCCACAACCACCGTACTTAAATAGGCCTGCAATTGCCAATTGCCCATTGCAATCCAATATTTTCCTTCTTATTAAATGATGACATCCCATCTTATAAATGCGTTTTGCCTCTTTTCTATTTAAAAGGGGTTTTTAAATTTTAGTTTGCTTTCTCCTTAAATTACAGAATTAATACGCCATCTACTATCAAAAGAAGTGCCTTTTTTTTCTTTTTAGGTTGTAATGGAGGTGGTAATTACCGTCATTGTGAGAGAGAATTGAGTAGATGGTTCGATTTTGATTAGAAAATATCGAACCCAGATTCTGAAACTCCCCCTCTCTCAAGACTGTCAAAAGAAAAAGTGAATCGTAAAAAGGGACCCACTGGTGATTTTGATTGAAGAAGAAGGAGAAAGAGACTTGGTTGGGGAAGTCATAATAGAATCCTAATTTTCCACGAAAAGGCATTGTATTGCGTTTCAACCATCCTGTATTTGGGAGTATTAAGTAATTTGTGTGCAAATTTGGTTGACGAATGGAATGGAATACCTGGTGGGTCCACCAGAGCAGAGGAAGCCGAAGTTGTAGGCTATTTTGACTTGGCGCAATTCAAATTCAACTTCTTTTTGCAGTATTCATTATTCAAAGCCTTTATAATTAGGCAAATTGCACGACGATGATGTTACAAAGAAGAAGCAGGAGGGGGATTTTGAGAATGGGCAACGTAGCATTTAGATGTTGAAGGCCGCCCAAACAAAAAGAAACTGGAGCGAAACTCACTGGGGCTGCAGCTGGAGCTGCCTGCCTTTGCAAATTTGCATTTGTGGCAACTCTGAAAAGTGGATTGGAAGTTATAAATACATGTTTGAAATTGACTCAGTTCCTGCAGTTTCGTTTTTCTGGACAAATATAATGATAAAAAGGGAAACCACCATATACAAATACAAGATAAGTCAGACTAGCAAAGCACCCCAAACCTAAAAAAGAAGGGATGTGCACCAGCCGGGAATCGAACCCGGGTCTGTACCGTGGCAGGGTACTATTCTACCACTAGACCACTGGTGCTGCTTGTTTAATTTGCCATTTTGTTAGTTTATATTTACCTCGCTAATTGCCATTACAATTGAAATTTAGAATCTGTTCATTTAAAACGTTAATATACATGTCAAAATATTAATCTCATCTTTGCTTTTTTAAAAGATAGACTACTTTTGTTTCCTCCAATTACACCCATCCATCCTATCACCAAACATTTAAAAGTAAAAATAGTGTTGAATTGAAAAGTAGTTCGTTCCAACTCAATTAATAAAATATATTTTGACATCACATTTAACTGTTATTAAAGTTCAAAGTTTTAATAAATGAACGGTGAAATTTGGAAACAATACCACAGACATGATAGACAATTATATACCCAGCCAAAAAAAGTAGCATTTCCAAGCAACAAATGCCGTTTCCCGCAAAATCTCTGTCCAACCAGTAAAAATGAAAAAAAATACAAATTTTGGAATTTGATTCCTTCGGTCAGTATTTTTGTACAAAAAAATGTTAATTCTGAATTGATGTCATATAGTATGGTATACAAAATGTATCAAATTTCGACACATCCATCATTATCTTCATCACTTCCATCTGTATCATTATCCCAGTCCAGTTGGAAAGAGCTAGTTGATTTCATCAACTCTGTAAGTCCGGTCAAATCCTCCAAATAAGTTGGATGGTTAATCGCTTCAAGAATAAAATCCATGCCCCTATTGCGATATTCCGACACAACCTGCAAAAGTTCACCATGAATCAAATAAAGCTTGATGCTTGACAGTAAAAGAAGGGAAAGATATAATCCAAGGAGCATTCAAAACAGGTTCAGAAAAATGAAAGAAACTTATCCAACAGATTTAGGCTACACCCATCTCTTGTCTCTCTAGACTATGGCCAAATGACACCATCCTACACCAACTCTTTCCATATTTGACCTACATGGCTGGTTTCTAGGGGGCTCGAGTTGTAGCCACTACATTGTCGATTAAATTCGATAATCTTTGAACGAGTATGATTCGAGAGTTTAAGAGGGCAGTGACAGTGTTGGAAGAAATTTTCATATGGACGGTTGGATCACATTAAACATTCACCTAATCAAACTGCATGACCATTCAAGTGTCCGAAGTAATTAGATGATTGGTAAGAGCGGGCAAAATACTTGAATCCACTTTCTTTGAGATCCCTAATTAGTTTGGTTAGGCTAGTCTCAGAAGAACCCAAACGTCAAGGTTCAACGCAAATTGAAATCAGAATATAAGTTTAAAGTATGTGTCATACAAAATATTATGTTATCTGTAAAGGGACAAATAAGAAATATGGCAGAAATGAGCAGGCAGAATAACTTACCGTGCTGGAGCAAGCTGTACAACTGTTAGATGAGCGGCCCACAAGTGTCATCTGAGAAAACTGTGAGAGGGAGCCTCGAATTTGATGGGGCAAGATACCCAGAGGCTGCTCAGAAGTTCCATCGATCCCAGAGTTTAAGAGTTCACCTTCAGCGTATATTCTGTACAATTTGGGGTAAAAACCAGTAAGCCACTGTTAGGCACCTCTGAAACTCAGTATGAGAACTCTAATTAACTCGACTAGTAGTATCAACCTAAGCATAATTTCAAAAGTCGAGCCACAGACAAATCTCAAGCCTTAATCACCAATGTATAAGAGAACCTACCCCTCAGGGTGATGCAAAATTCCGACAAGAAGTTCAACTGCAATCGATGATGCGATGGGAGCCAGCCCTGGGCGAGTAACAGTGCATTGCTGGTCCAATGTGCGATTGGTAGTTGACTACAATAAAAGCATGAGAATCAAAAATAAACACGACACAAAAAAAAAAAAAAAAATCAACAAAATACATCACGTGAGCTTGAGAAAATTACATCAATGGGTGCAACAACATCATTACAGAAGTAACAGCCTAATCTCTGCCTTCTGTCTGTTGCATTTAAGGAAAGGTTAGCCATATTAATTTGAGATGTTGCGTCATGACAGGAACCAGAAGGACCAGCTCCATGGCGCATAACTAAGAAACTATCAAACCCCAAAGCTGCATTGATTGTAACCTTCAAACCAGAAACAGACATTACATTAAGACAAGTACGAGAAACCTATACAAACAATTTCTTTGACAAAATTATACCTTATTTGTATTGGCACATAAAAGCGTAGGAAGCCACCGACTTTCCCTAGTATCAGTCAACAAGAAAACTGCATCATGAGAATTAATTAAATCATCAAGGCGTCTACAATCATCAATCATGCTGGCTACTTCATGGTCTGGAACAGGATGCCCAGGCATTGGTATGGAAATCACAACACCTTCAGCTTCCTATGTATTTTTAAAATAAAAAAAAAACACACAAATGAATCAAATTATAAAACAGGCAATTTTCATTCTGTTGGGGTCATGCATCAAAATTTTACCATGCCAGGAAATATTCGATCAAGACTTTTAACTGCTGCTTTGGCTTTAAAGTCACCACCATTAAGGCAGTCCTCCAATGTGTAAAGGGATTGCCTCAACGGATTAGACATAGCTACCCTTCCACTGTCAACTAGTGTAATTTTCCGTATGCCCCATGCCTACGAATAAGTTACCTTCATCAACAAAGAGAGAGAAATCTAAACTACAACTTTCTATGAAGCACTCACCATAAGCATACGAGCAACCTGACATCCAAGAGTACCAGCCCCTAGCAAGAGACACTTGAGAGATGACAAGATGTTCAAGTTTAAAGATGGCAAAGCACGCCATCTCATTAATCTCAAATTCAAATCAGCTGCTGTTATAGCTAACCTGTCAACAATATATGTATTGAGTCAATAATTAGATGAGGACTCCCCGAACCAAAACAGCATGTGCATAAAAATATACCTAGTTGGGTCCATGGATTTTGCAAGGTTAATAGATCTACAAGATTTCTTCCCTCGGTTGAGTTCCCATCCAACTGCATTAGGCATGCACCTTTGATCTATCAACCCTAGAAATCAACAAAATATAAGATAAGCTACCTCCTCGGTGAGTAGAGATAAAATTGATACTGTTACAAATTTCTTAGACTCTACCTTGTGGAGCATCAATCAGGGCTTTTCCAACAAGGGATAGTGTTAAATCTGCAAAACCACGGTTCTCTCTATAGCATAAAAAGTTAACTGACTTCAGATTCCATCTTGAGTAAATGAGAGCTAGGAAGTTGCGAAGAGGCCAGCCAGGATTATTTGGAAGATGACAAGGGTCATAAAAACCAAAAAGAAGCTGCAAAAAGAGACTAAACTGGCTTTAAGAAAGTTTCATCAATAAGTGTATGGTAATGGGAGTTCATAACAGTTTAAATCACCAAACAATCCAGCAGATCTAATTTTCTCTAGAAGCAAGCATTTTTTCCCATTCCCACTAACTGGAAGAGTAATGCCAACAGACCTTTTCCCCATTGCTCTCGAAGGTTTCAAAATCTGTTAGATGTTTAATGCTAGCTTGAGAACTCGAATCAATATGCACCAAGAAGAATGGTATATCTGCAGCAGAATGCAAATTAGACTGTAAACAACAAAAACTGGACATGAAAATTTACAAAACTCTAAACAGTGAAGAATGCAAGCCTACCAGAGGTTAGGTCCGAGCTGCGCCACTGACCAAAAGCTGAGGAAACTGATTCAGCCTATATATTAAAATGAAACATAGATATAAAAAACGTATAGCTATTCAAACACTTTAACAACAAAATACCACTTTTAAGTACCTCTTTTGAGTTAAGCCAATGTGAAGCAGGCTGCAGTTCAACTACAGTTGCTGGAGGATCAAGAACAAGAGCAGGGAAAGCAAACCAATAGTAAAAGTTCCATTTTTTCAAGTCAGCAAATGAGATCAAAAGGAACCTTGCCAGTACTGAACTATCCTCTATAGCTTTTCCACTGAGAATATCCTCCCGAATCTACTCACAACAATGAAAACTGAACTTGTAACACAAACATCACGCAAACAATCCGCAAGAGTTTCTAACATAATAAATTTATCCTAAACAAGAAATAGAAATAGCCATTACCCGTGTATAATTCAAGATATTAAATCATTTGAGCGTAATATACCTTCTTTGCTTCAGACTTTAGTAAGCTTTGCTTGTCAAGGGCATGGAAGCTTTCGACTGTATTTGTATTGTACAGAATTCCAGGAACAGAGCACCTATTCCTGTTACCTGTACTAGTTGATGGTGCCGACGGTTGCCTGCTTGCTTCGGAAGGCAATGACTCAGAAAGAAGTGTCATATGATTTGACACTTGTGAATGTGAACAAGGTGCGTAAAAACCTACAAGGAGATGGTTCTTGATTATTTTATACACACGCTATGAGTAACCAAAATAGGCTATATAAAGATGGCTAATGCATGAACAAAAGATAAAGATAAAGCATTATAATACAAGCAAAACCAGATCACATAGTTAAAAAGTTTGAATTTAAAGAATGCCCAAAACAAAGAATTCAAATTCAAACTGTATGCTCGTCAAATATATTGTTCAGCTTAATCACATTGATTAACCAACATTCTTTCCTCGTGAAAGAGTTTGATTTTTACTGATAGTTAGTCACAAGATCATCTGAACTCCGAAACCATCAAGAAGAAAATTGCTTGCCGCTAATAATTGGGAATCACAGAAAAGAAAGAAAGAAAGAAAGAACCAAAGAAATAAGAAGCAGACCAGTGATGGGAATAGGGGAATCGTCGATGCCAAGCTCGTTGAGCTTCAAGGAAGAGAGTCTATGCCAGAATCCTTCATCAACTGAGCTTTGGAATGGTGCGAATTGCAAAATAGAACCCTTATCGTTAGCGGCCATTGTCTTCTTGCTCTCGCTCTATTTTCTGTGTCGATGGGGGAAATCTTGAACAAGAAGAAGCAAATTCCCTCTGGGCCTGGAATTTTGTCGCATAAATTGGACGGAGGAGGGGAGAATGTGAGAAAATCAAAATAACTTTGGTTTTTATGAAATGGAGGAAGTGACATTGACCAGCGCACTTTTTTATTGCTGGTTTGGATCTAGCTCGAATTATTCCCTTCTTTTTTTTACATAATGTTTTTTAATATAATATGTATTTATTCTAGCGCTAAAAGGATTTTCTAAAACCAAACTAAACATAGTTGAAATGTTAAAGGCACTAAATGAGTTCAAACTCCTGCTCACAGTATTGTACTAAAAAAAAGAAAAGATTTCTTTAAATAAATATTATAGGTTTTAAAAGTTTGTTTATATTTTGTTATAATTTAAGCTGGAATTCGAAACACTTGAAATTATTTTTTAAATAGGTATTAAATGGTCTTTTTAACCGCTCATTTTAGGAGTGATTTTGAAAAAATGGATACAAAGTATAATTTTTTTTTTTCAAAATTACTATCCAAGTTATTCTTAAAAATCAATTTAAAGGAATTTTAAATTTTTTTAAAATCAATTTTTTAATTTATCAAACACGATTAGATTTTGATAATGGTAGGTAAAAATCACTCCCAAACATCAGAAAACTAACATATTTTTTTATAGAATAAGTTTTCAAATTATCTTATTTCTAAAAAAAAAAAATCTAATAAATATTATTATGATTTTTTTAATTTATAAAAACTTTTAAACGAGAAATATGCATTTTATTCCTAAAGCCAACCTCTAATTGAGACTAATGAGAAAACTAATGGGGGTAGCACTGCACAAAAGACTATATGCAAAAAATATATATATATTTGAAAATGCTATTGACAATATATCTTTAATTTTTAACTTATCGTATTAGTTTTTAAATTAGTATCGATGGAATTTTTATTCCAGAAAAACATTATACCTGCTTAAAAATATATACATGTCAATTTTAATACATCTCAACTAGTTAAGATATATATTTCTAACCTTTTCTGAATTCCTACTTATACTCACGCGTTGATGAATAATATGAATTTTACCCGATGACGAATTACTTTTTTAATTATTAAATTTTAACTTAATTTATTCTTGATCATTCAATTCAAGAAGTTTTTATTTAATTTTAATTTGATCTTGGAGGCTTAAAATATAATATTTAGAGCATGAGTAATCAATTTTACAATACTTGAAAACATCAAGAGAGGGAGTTAAAAGCTAAAATTTGTGTAAAAATTACTTAAGTATTTCAAAAATAGCCATGTCATGCTTTCTACCATAATTGAGTTACAGCGAGTCTTGAGATAGAGAGCTAGCGACCTAACAGTGTATCAATTATGTTAGTAGAGGTCATTCACCTAGATGTAGAATATGGACCGCTACTTGAGCCGCCTCTATATTTATATTTGAAGAGAACATAATTCCAAGATCTATGAGAGTATCTCTCGATGAGTCCAAATCTAAAAGATTTCGTCGAAAGTTTAATCTTCTCATGTGTTTTACTCAAAAGTGAACCATTTCTTTGATTTCTTTCCAGTTTAATGAATCCAAAACAAAAAAGTTTAGTTCGTGGAAGTTGGAAATTTTGTTTTAATCCAAAAATAAACCACATCTTGGATTCGTTGGAGTTTTAATGAGTTCAAAATCGAATGATTTAGTCCATGCATGTTTTAACCTAAAAGTAAATTATTTATTGAAATTTTAATAAGTCCAAAATAAAAAGTTTGTCAATAAAAGTTTGACGTTATATTTTAACCTAAAAATGAATCGTCTTCTTTGAACTAAATCCACACCACATTTAAGTAAGTTGTTTTTTCCTCCTTTTATTATAAATTATTAAAATTTGAAATTATTAAGATTCTTATCCTTACTTTCGAGTTCCCATGCATTCATCATATTATACCTTTGCATGTTTTCCAATTTCCACCAACTCCTTGTTACTTTCTTCATCTGTTTGTTTCAAATTCCATTTCAATTATCCTTTCATCCATAGTCAAAACATAGTCTTGCATAAATTAGTATCAGTCACGAAAGGATAAGTCAAATGAAAAATATGACGGGGTAATACCTGCTAACATGAATTATATAGTCTCTTATGTATTTGTATTTGAATAGTTGGGTATCTATAGTTCTGAACCGAGTTAAAAACATTCTCAAGAGAAGTTGATGATTTTATTTATATCGAGTAATTTCTAATTCTTTCTAAACTTTCCTTGATTATCTTTCTATTATGTCAACTAATGGTTAATTCAGGTTAGAAACCAAATCAAATATAAACATCATCAGTTTTTAAAACCTCAAGAATCAAATAAAAGCAAAATTTCAAAACAAATTTCAAACTGCGCTCACTTTTGAAATTTTAAAGATCCAGTAGAAATTAATTTCAGGAACTATAATAATTCGTTTTAGAACTTTAGACACCAAGTAGAAATAAACTCCAAATTCTGCCCCCAAAAAGAATAAAATCCAAATTGTGGGGGAAATTAAATACGTTTGTTCAATCAATTTGGATTTGAATCCGACAGTACGAAAGTATATGGATTGGGCCTCAATAATAAAGGCACTGGGCCATCCTATCTTGGACCTTCTCCTCTTAGGAAAAATTGATCCAACCCAAAATTTTTTATCAGGAAAAATTAAACGTTTTGATTAATGTTTGTTTTTATTAACTAACTATTAGTGTGTAGTCCATCAGTAGCCATGCTTCAACTTATGGAAGAGTCTTCAATTTATATAAAAACTTTGGAGAGATTCCAAATAAAGTAAGTGAAATATGAAAATATATAAGTATTCTATAATTATAATAATTGATTTAGATTACTTAAAGTATTAGTAATTTTTTTCATAAATTGAAAATTTGAATTTCCATCCCGTAATTTTTTTAATTATGGTATGGTCTGTGCAGATCTTTAAATAACACTTGTATTACCTTTAGTTTGATAGGTTCAAACAATATAGGCATCTCAACAAGTTTTTGAAAAGCAAGTGTTCAGTTAATCACAACCATTAAAATTGAAGCAGAACATGAGGAAAAAAGAAAAGAAATTAGAATGGAAAATAGTTGGTGGTTAAGAGGCAAGTATTTTTGAATTGGAATTATTCAGAAACAAACTGGAGTTAAGTTAGGGCGCAGAAAGAGGAGGTGAAAGGACGTGCATATTGTAATCTGCACCACCGGAAAATAGGAAGCCTGCCGCGAAAGTAGCAACTCCCCAAAAG